GGGGGGGAACGGAATTTTTTGTTATTGTTGCAAGTGCAAAAGGTACATGTTATATTTATTCCAACTTTAACTTTGCGTCTGTAAGCTTTATGCTAAAAATATACATATTTTTCTGAATAAACATCTAAAATAAAATGTATACATGATAATGCAGTAATAAAATAATAATGGACTAATAGTTTTAGCTTGAATATTAAACCAAAATCCAATGACTTTTCTCTTCATCGGTGAAATGATTTGAGCAGTGGCGTGCCGTGCGTGGAAGCAAGGGAAGCATTGCTTCCGTAGTTAAGAAACGAAAAGAAAAGAAGTCATATATAAATAAATCAATTTGAATATTGTCATTTAGCGCGTGTTCCTGCTCAAGGCCACATGCCTCCTCCTTCTCCCTTTCCCTTGCTTGGTGAGATGAACAAAGCTTCCTTCGTTATTCTCCGTCAAAATTCGTCGAACAAGAAGTGAGCACGGAAGCAACTTTCGGTTTGCGGCCTAATGTCACTGCTATGGAAGGGAAGCCCTGTGTTCTTTCAATGGTTATGTGAAAATTAACTGTTTATGTGTGATTTCAGTCTTGTTGGGTGTTACAGGTAACCTTAAGTTTTATTAAAATATTGTAAGTGTATATTTAGATGGCGTAAGATTGTATTTGTGATCGTATTTTGACGCATCAGAAAGATGCTATAAATAATTATAGAAAGAGGACGACTGACATGAAAGTTGCCAGAACTTAAAGCACAAAGCAAATTATGTGTGAGGAAATTTAATATGGAACAGTATTCTAAAACAGAGTGGCTATCCGGTTGCCGTAATATAGGAAAATTGTTTTGTTGGCCACACCTATTGTTTCTCAAGGAGAAAAAAATGTATGGAACAAGACTGGGTTAGGTGATATCAACAACCTTTATATAGCATTGAAACGACATGAGAACTCTCAGACTCACATTATTTCAACTGTGCAACTTGTTATGTTCGGGAAATCTCGAACTGACTGTCAACTTGACAATCAAAATCGCCTGACGATACTACATAGAGAAATAATGAAACGCTTGATTGATATCATCTGCCATCTAGGAAAGTGGTAACTTGGCCTTCGTGGTCATGACGAAAGCGTGGATTCCATCGACCGAGGTAATTATGTGGAATTAGTCCACTTGTTGAGGAAATATGATCATAAACTCAATGTTCACCTTGGGAACAGTACAGTATTTACAGGTTTATCGAACAGAATACAAAAGGACCTTATTGACTCAATAAGTAACGTAAATTTTGGTGAGTTGATTGCTCTCAGTTCGGTTATTAGATACCACTGCTTCCCTTACCAAAAATAGTACCGCACGCCACTGGATTTGAGTGTCACTAAATATAAAGTGAGTCGTCCAGTGTTGCTCAGTTTTGATGGATATCAGTGAAGTGAGATGAAACTGAGTTAAAAAAAACGGAGTAAAACCTTCAGCACTACTGCACAGCTTTCACAGGTAGGCCTTGGGATTTTAGATGGTCACGAACTTGAGGCACGAATTTAAAATCAAACCATTCTTTAAATATCGCTCTATTCATCCAAGCTCCTTTCTGATTAAAATAATGGATAGGCAGACTTGAAGGTACTCTTCCTTTAAAAGAGCATGGTCTTTTCGCTTTGCCGATAACTACTTGTATTAGTTTGTGTGTTCGTGATACATTAGAACAGCACAAGGCTGTCAATCTCTCCTTACTTGATTTGTGACCTGGAGCCTGTCTTTCACTTTGAAATGCCAAAGTTCTGGTTGGCAAGCATTTCCAATAAAGACCCATTTCATTGGCATTATAGATTTGTTCTGGCAGCAGATTTTCACTTTTCACAAAACTATCAAAATTGGTGCAAAATTGATCTGATGATGACAAGTCCCCTGACAATTTCTCACCTTGAATACTGATTTCTCGTATTCCATGACGCTGCTTGAAACGTGTTAGCCAACCGGAAGAAGCGTCAAAACTCCCTTCTAGTTCAAGTGCTTCGAAAAAATATTTAGCTTGTTTAGCACAAACTGGTCCTGTTATTGTTGTTCCCTGTGCCCTTAGTTGATTAAACCAGATCAGCATTGCTTTGTCGAGATCATCACATGTTGATTTTTTCACGGTTTTTCTCTTCTTCATTCCACTTGAATTAGAAGATGAAGCAAAGGAAATTAATTGATTCTTTTGTTTTTTCAAATCACAAACAGTTTGTTCTCCAATACCATATTGCATTGCTAATTATTTAACTACACCTCTTTTTCCCAACTGTTTGATAATTTCAAGTTTCTGTTGAATACTTAACACAGCACGCTTCCTTTTACACCCTGACATTTTGCTAACGCACTTGAAGATCGATACAAAGATACTAACTGGGCGGTGTATCTGTCCTTGAAACTTTCCAAAAATCCTTGCATTCTTTCACCCCTACCCTAGAACATTGTGTTAGCATAATGGGACCAAAAAATGCAGAGCTCGGTTCACACTAGTGTGAAAATAGTCTTACAACTCACCATGTGAAACAAAAGTGAATGAATATTAAACAACATATAAGCCTCAAGAAAGCCTCAGTAGCCCTGGTTAAGCCGCAAACCGGTTTATCCACCCCCGGATATTCGAGAGTTGAGTGTATTTTGATGGCTGATGTGGATCTGCGTAAATGTATGTGAATACCTTGTAATATGATGCGATAAAACCACACTCCACGAACTTAACGACTCTACAGTGTTTGTGTGTGTGTGTGTATATATATATGATGAACAAAAAAGAACAAAAAAATCTATCAACAAACAGTCACTTTACTTTGACCAGGAGCAAGTTCTTCTGTCAGATTACAGGGCAGTACTGGTGCTTAGAGATTTCTTAAACAAAAATTCAATTCTTATCATGATAAATTTATTCACAGTATATACATCTATATTACATTGTTATATCCTGTAACAAACTTGCCAGTTCTTGTGTGACAGAAATATAAAAAGGTATCCATACAAAATATAATGTAAGTAAAAATAAATACAAAACTGTGGATTAAGTCACAGACTCAATCATAAGGAAACTTCTGAGATGTATGTACATATTTGATTGAGATTTATGTTTTGCAGTCTGATAACTTGTCACTTCTGTTTATATAAAATCTGATTGTGGATAAAAAGCATGACTTTCCAGGTGTGACAGTTTGCACACACAAAAAATACCTGCCAAAAATGTATATTAACATGGCTATTACATCTAAAGGTAATTGTTTTACAAACATGTGAAATGGCAGTTTTGATTTTACAGTCCCCATCACTTAATATGAAGGACGTGATTCCCATAGCCATGAAGTTCTGCATGCTATTTATCACAGGCTAACGAGTCAGACAGTGTTTCATAAGTGCAAGTTTGACAGCAGACATCCAGTTGGCACTTGCCTGAGCCCACGTGCTACACATTAAGGAACACATACACTAGTATTTTGTGCCTCAACTTTCACATTACTTTCGGGTTCTCTATAAGAACTTTATCAGGCAAATGCAACAAACTATACCAAATAAACTATCAAAACAACATCAGCTTAACACACAAGGAGCTGGAAAATTTTCACACTCCTTACTGCTTAAGAGGCTTACATATTTGCAGCCATACATTTGAGCATGTTATATACAGTATCTGAAATTATAAGAGCTGTGATACAGTATGCAGTAAACCCTGAGAGCTTGCCTCAGCAACTGCATCTCTCTCCCAGTAGGGGAACTCCTCAACACACAAAGTTCCTTGCGCTTCACCTCTTGATATCTGTTCTCTCAGCAACTGCATCTATAACCCTGTATAATTTATATATATTTGAAAAGGTGGCACAACTACAAAACCATTTTGAAACCTTCTGGTTCATTTTACAAAATAATAACCTTTAGGCTTGGCATGGAGAGGACCATTACCTGGTTTTCTAATTACAGAACTTGTTGCCAGTGGGACTGTTCTCTCGCTTCTAGGAAACTTTCTGCCTGCAGCTAGGCTGCAGCCCCTCTATCTCTGCAGTGTGGTATTCTTTCAGAACTTTTATGACCAGAGAGCGTAATCTGCTGATTTCTGCATCTTTGTCCGCTAACTGAGCTTCTAAGCGACATACTTGCATACGAAGAACGCTATGGGCATCCACTTGAGCAGCCTTTTGCCTTCGAGCTTTATGTGGGTTGTAGCTGTAACCTGAGCAGAGGAAGAATGATTTTTAGATTGTAGTTTTCCATTAAAAATTACAAAACAAATTTATAAGTTATGCTATTTGCCAGATATAATTAGAATGATAAATTCAGAGATGAGATGGCCATGGAGCAAGAATCAGGGAGAATAGGAACACATGTAGGATACTGGTGGGAAAGCTAGAAGGAAAGAAATCACTAGGAAGACCTGGACATAGGTGAGAGGATAAAATTAAGATGGAATGGCATACACTGGACTGATCTGACTCAGGGTAGGAACTAATGGATGGTGGGGTTCCATAAAATGTTGGGAAATTCGTGAGTAGCTGAGCAACTGGCAGTTTCTCAAGAAGGACTCAGCTCCATGGAGTTAGTCAGTTAATATTCCATTAATGGTTCTCACCACACCACTGGCATGCAAGAGAGAAGGCAACCCAAACACATGCAATTTCTGGACCAAATACCTGAAGCTGCCTCTGCAACAGTGCTCCTGAACGGCTACAGAGGACTATATGCCTATTTGCCTGTTTCTACAGTTCTGTACCCCACATTTTCTTTTTGTTCTGTGTAAAACTGGTAAGTAATGACAAACTTTCAAACATTAACAAAATGTTTAAAAGGTACATGTGGGAACTCTCAAAAGAGACAGTGCAACTGCAGGAGCTGCAATCCTGCGTTATTTGAGCTCAAGTTCCCACTGGCCCCAGTAAGGGGCCCTTCCCAGGGTTAAGTGGCAGGTAGACAGGACTCATTAGCCATGGTAGGCAACCTGTCTGAAGGAAGGAAACCCTGAATAAAAACCCCTGGTCTCCCAAGATAGGGGATTTTGCAACAGGCTGGTGACCAGCTCGAGTGTAAAAGGTTTACAAGGGTGACTTATAATTCTGAAAAATTGTGACTTGATGTTTGAGGACTGAATGGGGCAACAAGCTCAACCCTTCCAAATGATTATGATGAACAAAATGTTTTAAAGAATTACTGTTAAGACTGTAATAATTTCACGCCTGGCAAAGGAATCTGCTACCCTCTTAATGACTCTAAGGGTTCATTACCGTGTTCACAAGTGATCGCCACTGGACCCTAACCTATGGCAGATAAAGAGAAGACACTGGCCGCCAAAGCCTTGTTTTTACATCATTATGAACCTGTTGTGCAAGCAGTTCAGTAATAAACAATGACACACTTTACTGCAAAGCCCGATGATGGTCAAATGACCAAAACATGTAGCCCAGTAACATTTCAATAAACTTAAATTACTGAAAACAAATGTTGTGACAGATAGATATGCCTTATCTTCCTTGGCAGCCAGAATATCACTCTACATTTTTAGCCTACAAACTCTTTGATGAACAGTCTCACATTGAAATATTATTTAGAAAGGGAAATAGTTAAAAAAAAAAAAATACGGATTTCTCCCAGAAATAGTTCTGTTAAATTTGTCTATACCAACAGCAAATTTTGCGTTCTAACTACGTAGGAAATTGTCACTTCTTATAAAGCTGAATATGATGAATATAAGAGATTTCAGTGTGAAAAAACTTCTGGGGGTGGTAAACAGTAAATTAAAACAACCAAGGAAATCAAATCTTAATTTTATAAGACATTCTTGTACTCATTACATGGAAGTGGGACTAAACTTACAAAGCGCCACGTTTTTAGTAAAACTGAAGTGGCAGAAGAGGATATTTCAAAACAATATTAAAATGTATTTAGCTAAATGTGTGTTCAATAATTGGAACAGATGATTACAACAAAATGGTCAACCTCTTCAATGGAATGGACAGTGACTGGTGCCTAAAAACTGCACTTCAGTTAGAAACCTAATAAATTGTACAGGACTGAAAAAAAGTGCCAAAAATAGTAGAAGGCATTTTAGAGGTCAGGCAAAAGAAATCATTACAAATTGTGCAACATATACCACTCCTATCTTCACTTCTGGCAGCCACTTCCCACATACTGACTGCAAGTGGACTTAAAATACCAGTATTCTACACACCTCATTGCATCACAATCTTTCCTGCCCATACTTTTAAGTTCCTAAAATAACAGTAATTATTCATTATTTTGTTATCAGTTTAATAATGAGGGAATGCTAATCTTTGGCTGTCATGCAAACAAAAATTAAAATCAAAGTAACATTATCCCTTCGTTTTGAACGGTAGTAACTAAGATTTGGGCATCAGCATAAAATTCGTAGTCGCCCGGAAATTTCCTCCTGTCCAACAGGTGCAGGTAAACAGTTCAGAACCAACCGCAACATACTCAACAAACTTAAACCAAACACATGGTTAGACACAAAGGCATGACGTAACATAACCTGAATGAAACATTTAGAAGCATCTAATATATCTAAAAGAAAGCAGTGCAGACTCCTTGAACACACCCTGTACTTATGATGATGACTGGTTAGACCAAAACATGTTGTGAAGTAGAGTAGAAGGAAGAGACACAGAAACCTAGTGGATTCTGACCGAGTTGCACAAGGACAGATAAGAATCATAACAGTATTCAAGGAACAGACAGAGTAAAATCTGAGACACATCCAACACCAACAACTTGATAAAAATGTGTTTACACGTTAGACTTTGAATATGGCCATGCAACAGTAATACTTACTGATTTCACATAAATTCTTCAAAATGAGATCCTCCATGTCCAATGTATAAAGCTGTGATTCTCAACTTTGAATCAGACCATTCCTGTTAACAAGTTAATATCTTAAATTTACTGGCCTTGGAACAGTCCGTACTGAGCTGAACTGTAAGGTATTGGGACCACACAGGATTATGGGTTTTGAAAAGTGTGTTGTGGCATACATGCTGAGAGTCAGAATTTTGGAGCCAGGAGAGACAGCCGCTGCTAAGGAACGGCTCTGAAAACATGCCTTTTGCTAGGCTACTACTGTGCAAGCATGTGATAATACCAGAGCCATTGCTAAGCAATGTGTGCACACAACAATGAAGGAACTGTGGGAAGCAGCATTGCAGTAGCTGAACCCAGAGGAAGGGGAACGTGACAGAGAACACTAGTCTGTGTGATAGCGATTTGTAAAGTGCAATCACGAGTTGTGTCCAATAAGCCCAATTACCAAACCAACAGTGGTGTGAAAGGACACACCTGTCTATCAATCCAATCAAGATGGTGACTGTACCCTTTACTAGGAAGAGGATTGTAAAGGGGCTCAAGGAACCAATCCTCTTCAGTAAAGTGACCCGGCTATCCGGTAAAGTCAAGTACCTTAGATTAACATTAGACAAGAGGCTGACATGGAAACAACAGCTGGATAAAGCTACTGACAAAGCCTATAAAGCCTTCTGGACATGCAGAGGCACGTTTAGGAAGACTTGGGGACTGACACCAAAGGTGGTATACCGGATATACACTGCAGTGGTAAGACCCATAATCACCTATGGTGGCCTACAGTCAAACTCAAAACAAGTCAGGCAGAAGTTAGCAAACTGCAAAGGACGGCCTGCTTGGGAATTACGGGAGCAATGAGAACAGCTCCAACAGCTGCAATGGAAATCCTACTAGGACTCCCTCCACTGCATCTGCAGATGGAAGCAGAGGCCAAGTTAGGAAATTACAGATTACGTTGCAATGTTCAATGGAGACCTAAATCCGAAGGATTTGGACATGCATACATGACTCAGGACACGAAAAAAGAACCCATCCTACTGACGGGATCTGATAAAATGCTACTGAAACATGTTTATGATACACCCTTCATGATCAGAATTCCTGATAGAAGTGAATGGAAAGAGGGGTTTCAACCTGATGGGGGGGGGGGACTAATCTAGTTTATGGATGGTTCCAAGACAAATAAAGGCACTGGAGCTAGAATGTATTGTGATGGAACGAGGTGGAAGCATACCTTCAGCATTGGTCAGTACACAACAGTATTCCAGGCAGAGGTATATGCCATTGAGGCATGCACAGTTGAGAATTTAGATAGGAACTATAGAAATAAGAACATCTACATATATCCTATCAGACAGTCAAGCTGCAAGCACTTGGTACACATGAAATCACTTCAAAATTGGTTTGGGACAGCCATCAATCCCTCATACAACTGGCCAGACATAACAGAGTTCAACTGATATGGGTGCCAGGTCATGAGGGTATTGCAGGGAATGAAACTGCAGATCAACTGGCAAAAACGGATCTGAACAGCCATTCATAGGACCTGAACATGCTTGTGGCATCTCAATTGGAGTTGCCAAAAAAAGTGATCAGGGACTTGACCGATAGAAATCATAAAAACTACTGCGAATCTATAATTGGACTCAAACAGGCAAAGAGTTTTATAGCAGGACCCTCTGCTAGAAGAACAAAGGATCTGTTGAGATTAAAGAGAGATCAACTAAGCTGGGTGGTAGGATTACTTACTGGACACTGCCATCTAAAATGACACCTTTTCAAGTTCGGACTGGCAGACAGCCCAACTTGTGAAAGGTGCCTACAAGAAAACGAAACAGCCACACACATCCTGTGTGATTGTGAGCCCATAGCTTATTTAAAAGATTTCGTCACTTGGGTCAGTCTTTTATGGAACCAAGTGATTTTTATGATGGCCCGATAAGCAGGGTCCTACACTTTATTAAAAGTGTAGGATTAATAAAGGGCTAATCCAAGGGGAAGCACAACAGGTCATTGAAGGTAGCAGTGGGGGGGGCCGATTTTTATGGCCCACCCCTTACATACATACATGCGTCATGTGACTGGTTCGGTACTCAAACTGGACAAACACAGACAGCGCGGAGATATGAGAGACCTCCTTTATCCCCAAGAAAAGGGACTAGCCTAATAACAAAGGTGCCAATAATGACAATTACCTGAAAATGGGAGTAAAGGAAACACCCAGCATGTCAGGTTTATACATCTGAATGGACAACGTATAATATAGCAGTGACAATGAATTAGCTGATATCACAAACACTTCTTTTGGTACTTTAAGACCTCTCATGTGTGTACAACCATGTGACCAGAGTCCACAGAGGTGCACAGGGGTTACATTCCCTCAAAGTGATTCATGTAGCTTCGAGTTAGAAATCTGCTTTGCAGTGTTATATGCTGCCACCTGATATCAAAACTGTTGATCAATCTCACTTGTTATTCTGCTTTGAATCTCGACCTCATGATCGAGTATCCTGAAATTGGAGCTGAGTCCTTCTTGGCAAGTGGCCAGCCACTCAAGCTACTCCAGATTTTCCAAACATTTCATGGAACCCAAACCTTCATTACAGTGTTCACAACAGCCTTTCACCCGAACCTATTCTGACCCATATTGGACCAGTCCATACCACTCCATTCTATCTCTCTAAGATACATTTTAATACTATCCTCCCACATATATTGATGTCTTCCTAGTGCTCTCTTCCTTTCTGGCTTTTCCAACAAATCCTAGATTGATTCCTCTTTTCCCCCATGTGTGCTACACACTGAGATATTCAATGTCTGATTCTTTCTCTCTATACAAAAAAAGTTTTGCAGGCATTAGACTTGTAAACAATTACGAAACTTCAGGTTAACACAGAAGCGAATTGTTGAGCATTGACACCTTGCATGAATGTAAGTTACACAATTCATTACAAAGGAACAGCAAATCTTCTGTCTCAGTGCATCGTGTATATTCTCTGTGTACTGACATTTTGATGCAGATGTGTTAAGTGTAAAGGACAGGGTTCATGAGTGACTATTTATGCCCATCATTTTTGTTGGATATGGCACTAAAAGTGGGCCTCAATGCATCATTCTACAATATAGGCCTAGATAGGAATACAGGAGAAAGCAGAGGAATTTCAGAGGATGAAAGTTTATATTACACATGATGAGATTTACAGAATATTGGGGCAAATCACTTACCAGGATGTTTCAGGCTGTGTTCTTTGGCTGCGAGTTGCTGCAGATCATGGTATTTTTGCCTCTCCTCTACTGGTAAGGCATTCCACATTAGACCAAGTCTGAAAATCATGAAAGGAAACGCTTGTAAAACAAGTCAGAATTCTATGAGGATGCGAGGGTTGGTGCAAGAACATCTTCACTGGTACTACGGAAAGAAGTTCTGTGGATGGTAGAGATAACTGCAGTGCAGTGAGGTAATCTGCTACTGACCCTCGCCAGCAGAATTATTCTTAGTTTCGGGACCTGTCATGACTCATGACTTATTTGTTCCAAGACTCTTATGTGTTTTGAAATGGGACCTCCTCTTTGACAGCGCTCAAATCTTCCCCCTTTATCCCACTGTTATATTCCCCTCCATCCCCTTGTAGCCTATGTCAACCAAAGGACTTTGTAGCTAGTGAAAGTCATCATAGTGTTATAACCACCAATGTTCTTGTGAACAGAATGTTCAGACAATCAAACAGGGGTGTAGGCAATTATGGTGGATGCAGAAACGTAGCAGCTACAAGGAGATTTTCCATCCATGGGACTTTATTCTGTAGCAACAACATAGGCTCCATCTACTACAAGAACAAGGTAGCATCACTGTCAGTGATATAGATTGTTATGGCATCATTAGAAAGCTGCTGATTTCATTTTTAACATACTTCACTTATTCATAAATCAGTTGGATTTTCAGACCTACTCACGCATGACATTTTCCCCCTTAAGTTTGCCTATACAAGGTATGATGTAACCTCATTCATAGAGTAGGTGGGAGGCTACAAGGTGTTATGTGATTTCAGAAAATGGTTCAGCATGTGCTTGTGGATCAGAACATATGGACTCGCATATTACAGGGAGCAGAAATGACACATTCAGTTCCAAATGTGGCTGTCAGCTCTTTCACTGAACCATTCATAATCAGACTTAAGTCACCTATGCATTAATTGAGATTACTGATAAGTCACTGTTTATGTTTATTTATTATAGGGGCAGGGTGGTCATATACTCTCATTACTTGCAGTAAAGAAAATCATATATTGGTTTTTATCACACAGTACAAGTGTAATATTGTGAATAATAATAAATAAAATGTAACAACAACACCCATTAATATAGGACACAGGCCTTCGGTTATCTGGTAGGTATGCTTGTCCTCCTTCATTCTCAGAACAGAGTACCATGCTACACGGGACATTGTTGGAGCATTTCAGGGGTGTCCTGAATTGAAGCAACAATAAGTGGTTCTTGGAAGTCATCAATGTTTCCATAATGCTACCATGCAAAAATCTCCTTTACATAAGCCCATTTTCTCTCAAGATAACAAGACCTTGTGTCCATCCTTTGCTATATAGATGGCACTTCATGTAGTTGGACATTAGTTTAATTCTCCTATCATAAATAACGGAGCAAGGATAGCTCAGTCATTGTGGTGTCTGGATGACTGAGGAATCAGGGTTTGATTCCTCATAGGATCAGTAGGTATTCTCTTTCCCACATGTCCAGACCAGCCTTCTGCTTATCGGGAGCCCTTTCCATAGGGCTGAAGCTGAATATTCTTCCGTATGTATTGTCACTATTAAGAATGCATGGAAATATACACACATTCTTTGTTACTGTCTACTTGGTGAGGTGCTTAATGAAGCACAGGGACAACTTCATGTTTCTTTTATTTTGTGAAATATATCACATATCAAACAAGTCAGGAAATGCTGCCATTCAACAACAATGTTGGTTGAAATAGAACAGGAAATAAGAGACAATTTACATGAAGACCTATATGCATTTCTGTGCCCATCTTGAGGGCAAGTGTTTAAAATCGGTTCAAGAGGTGATTAAGCAAAAAGGGTAGACAAAATTAAACACACAAGTTATGTTCAGTGCATTTCTTCAGATCTGCAAATAGGTGAACAAAAAATCTTCTGCCGACTCCTTCCGTGCAACTCGAGATCTGGATAATATACATCAAAAGTCTTGGCATCAATGTGTTGAAAGTTTCAATACTGGCGATCTAATGTTAGCATCTCAACAGTTGGACAAATTTTGGAAAAATAAGAAGGTATGGAGGGAGAAAATGGAGACGTTCACAAAAAATTAATGTGCAAGTTCAGATTCTCGGCCATATTAATCCCACAACGAAGTTCATTTAAGGTCATATATGGAATGTTTTCATGTGTATCACCAGCTGCCAATCAAACATTATATAAAAACCTTAAGTAATTTTAATAAAACAGAAGGATCACCATTTGAAATGTTGTGCACTACATCACGGAATACAGCACCTCCACTCTTACTTTACCTGATATAATTTGCATCAAAGTTACTTTCCTGCAAGTTATTCTCAGAAGATTCAACAAGCAACTGACATGGCTTAACAGTGGATTTCAGTTAATCACTTTCCTTGCTGTTTAAAAATTTTTTGCATCTGGAACCATTTCAAAAATACATTAATTTCTTATCACCCAAATAATTTATAATAAAGATAAAGTTGTCCCTGTACCTGCTTAATTAAGAGCTAATGCCATGAAGACATATGAGGGACTGGAGGGATTGTTCCACAATTATTGACCTTGGCACTGGATAGGGGTGAGTGGCCGGTCAGCTTCATGCTCTGGCAGCTTTGCCTCCTGGGGAAATAGTGCCCAGTATCCACTGCACAGGAGACATTGGTGGGCCTCAGAGCCAGTCAGGATGCTTTCAACTAGAGAAAAATCTGTCAACCCTGCCCACAATTGAACCCCGGATATCCAGCCCAAAGCCCATCACTATACTGACTCAGCTATCCTGCCGCCTAATAATCTTATCAGTAGTGAAAGTTACCGCTTACCTCATGCTGATGTCTGTGCTTCTTTCTGTAGTATACAGAGCAGCAATCTTCTTTCTCCACTCTCTAGAAAATAAAATATATGCATTGGGAGGCCGCTTTATTTTATTTCCACAAGCTGGCCTTCCCTCTTGCGATGGCTCCATCTGGAGGAAAAGAAACAAAACATTCTGTAAGTGACACTGGTCCACAAACTCTTTCATTCTGAGGCTCTCTTTTTGTGACTGTCATAAAATAGCAACTAATGGGCATATTGAAAATAGGGACAGAAATACACACAATACACACACTGATAGAAATTTAACAGAACATATTTAAATAATTTGGTCTATACAAAATCTATTCAAGTCAATATTTAAATAATTTATGGAGTTGTGCAAAAAATGCACCTTTACTTAAAAATTTCTGACAGTACACAGCACCAAGGTTGTAATGATCAATAATAATATTGTTCCTTTCTGTTCTGGGGTTGACTCAGTCTCATGCATCACTTTCCCCCTTCTTGGTTAATGGGTAAGTGCTGGTAAAATTGCAGTGATTTCAGATTTCGATGCTGGTCTCTTTCGCCAGTTCGTATTATTGTCTTCTGTGAAATCGATTTTAATGGCCCAGGCAGTAAGTGGTAAAATATGCAGTTTAAAGAGGTTAAGTGTGCTGTTCACTTGCCACATTCACCTGCTGGCTTCTAGTTACGTTTACTCTTCAAACCCTGAATATGGAAAATATACACTGCTCCAAATCATGTCGTTCTCCACGAACTAAATGGAATTACACCCGACATCCACAGGCAACTCAATGGGCCTAAGCGGACTGAGGTTTTCAGCCATAGCAAAACAGACCTGATATGAGATTATTTTTGCAGAAACACAATTTCACTGCCACCATGAGACACTAAAGCATTCTAGATGCAGCCAAAATTCGGTTATCATTGCCTTCTCAAAGAAAAAGCCAAACCTACATACTGAGAATATTAAACACAAACTTGAAAATAATAGACACATATATTTCTCAAGTTTTCCGTCCTAAATTACTACATATATATTAAATATCTCGAAGAGAAATACTAAGAAGAAACGACCTTCGGATCTGAGGTATGCCCAACAACGGAAGGGTATTACTGCAAATTAGGTCGTACTGTTAATTACTACCCTAGCATTAATTATTTAATCTGAAATTATTCATTATTTATCCTCCATATAATTGTCAAAACCGATATATACTGTATTATATTGTAACGTGTTTTGTTACTGACGACGCCGTTCACATTAATTGGTTTATTTAACAACCTAGAGATCGTAACTACAATTATTTATAACACTGTTACGAGTATACACAATTTACAAACCCTACACAGTATTCTATTCACTTTATCTTCAGTAGTCTTCACGTATTAATTACGTGGGAGCTATACAAGTGTCACTAAATTACACAATCCCAATACCTTCTCAGCTATCACTGATTATCACACTTTACGGTAGTATTTCCGTGTTCAAGACCAGTACTGTCACTCCTGACCGCTCCTGATCCTCCTGATCACGTAACTGTCTCGCATACCCCTCAACCAGCTTTCTATACCTTTCACTGTTGCCCGTGTCAGCCACGTCACCTCGAGGGGGAGGGGGAAGAGCGCTGACACCTGCCACGACAGCGCTGGGGACGGAGGGGGTGTCCACCATTGCGCAACACGTCGCAATCTATATGTGCTTGTAGTTACTATAGGATTCTGACGATGGTGTATAACACACAGACAAATTGGGTTTTCGGACTTTATCCATCGTCCTGGTTTTAAGATAACTAAGAAAAACACGACGTTTCGGAAACTGGATCTGTTTCCGTCCTCAGGTGAGGGAAAACACCTATTCTGTTGGGTCCTTCAGAAAGAGCTAGCTGATGAGGCACCGGCTAAACAGTAAGTAAACAATACAACTATATCATAGATACCAAAATTAATAGTGGAACAATAAATTTAATGCCATTATTCTTACATTTCCAAGCAGTTACATGTACAAAAGTATAGAATGTGCCATTATGTCCGAGGGAATATAACAAAATTGCAAGAACTTGATGATATTAACCGAATTTTTAACTTTATTTTACGCCATAAGTTTCGTGTTTATAATATAGTTCATTGTATTTTTATAATGTAATAATTATCGAGTATCCGCCTTTACCATCTCAAATGCAGTTCAGAAGTGTGAATATGTATTCACGTGTTTGGCTGATGATGGCTTTAATAGCCGAAAAATGTAGCTGAGCTAATTTTAGCCTTGATCATTGTATTGTTGTGTTGCGACGGACTCTAATAAATAATTGTAAACGAATGCAACTTCTTAATTGTGGCATATAGTACGAATTCATCATCATACAAAGAAATATATCTAGCGTCACATACCATATCGATTAGTAGCATAATTATCCAACATTAATCAACTATTTTCAACCAAATACTTTAATTCATTCTAATATAATTCAATAAATTTCCCGTTTATGTAAAATCGTAACTCTCACAGCAGTTCTGTGGCTTGTATTGATACCTGGAGCGTAAATGTCACCGGTCTACTTCCACTTCTCGATTATGAACGATATACGATACTATATTACTTTCCATTATTATCTAACAAATTCGGTTTTTTGTTATAACAGTCAATGAATTCTCTAAAGTGCCGTCTCAAGTTGATTTTCTAAATTTAATTTACAACACATTACAAAAATCAAACATAATCTCACATGCAAAATTTCAATACAGTGAAACCTCGATCTATCGTTCAATTTCTGTGGTCCCTGAACAAATCGTATTTAAACTATGGAAATAAAACCCGCCTGTATCGTTCGGAATTCTTGGTCCCCATGAATGTTAATCCCGCATTGATCGTTTTTAAGAAAATGCAACACCACACAATGTTAGTAAGCATTGGTAGTAGTAAAAGCGGTTGATGTTTTTGAAACGTGGTATAGAAAGATGCAGTACCGTCAAAATGTGGTATGTGACCTTGAATGAGTCTTACCTGCAAAACAATGAGCATGAGCGATAAGGGGATGCCGAGAGGCCGAGAGCCTACCAGCTAGGAAAACTTTCCTGTATGTTAGTGTGAATCGTGTGAATCAACTCAGTTCGCGATTTCGCCTGGTTGAGTTTATAGTCATCGCGTGTTCGATCCTCGACGTGCTTCGTATTATTGTTAGCGTCATCAACAATTTTCTCCCACATGGCGTTTCCTGTGAAAAAAGTTCGGACTTCAGAAGAACGACTGCGCATTATAGAAGAGGTGGAAAAAACCCCATCAGAGAAGAGGACTGACATAGCCAAGCGACTAGGCCTGCCACCAACCCTAAATTCGATTATCGCAAAGAAAAGGGAGATCTGAGAGCTGGCTGATAAGTGTGATACGTCAGCCAAGAAGAGGAAGATGGGCAAGGAGTGTCCCTACAGCAAGCTGGAAAATGTCCTCTTTGCCTGGTACCAGTAGTAACGCAAATTGGACCTGAGAGTGGAAATATTATCACTGGTTTACGTTTTTTTATTTAGTTAATACATATAGGCAAATGTAACCGTTTTCATTCATTTTATATAGGCCTCGCACATATCGTTTCTTTCGGGACCCCCGACGAAAACGAATCGAGGTTTCACTGTATACTGAAATACGAGTACATATCTTTCAGCATGGAAGCAAAGCGAGATACTGATCAAAAGGAAACTAATTTCTGTTAGATATAATCTCTCTCTCTCCAGTATGAGTTATTCACCAGTTCTTATTGTGGTATGAGGAACAGTTGGGCCACTTATCCCAAAAATATGTTTCAGACTAATACATACACTTACCTTGATGCTCATGCCTTTTCCATGTTCACTCCTAACATGAAAAAGTATTTGAAGTGAAGCTGCTTGGTGTGTTGTGACTTCAGGATGATGCAGTTCTTTGGCCATTTTCACCCCATGGCTATGGACAGATGCAAGCTTCCATGTCTGCTTTATCGTTACTGAACACTGAATTAAATACCTAAACATGGTCCTTTGTTGCAATTATAACTGGCAGAGTTGATATAAAACAGGGGAGAAATATTGTATGACATCCTCAAGACACCTTTCTAAGCCTAGGTGCTATCTATGGAATTTAAAAGCACAAATTAAACTTGAAAGATGGGGAATATATTACTTGTAGTCAGTAATAATAAACAATTTATTGCTTTCATAGGAATTACTGTGACAGATTTAAACATTAACCTCTTCAAGTTTGACACCTGTAGTGATTTCTTACATTGTTCTCAATGCAGTCATGGGGAATTTAGTACTTCAAAGTCTCAAACTGAATATTATTGTTAAGGCAGTGTCTACATGAGTGCACAAAATGCATCCGTTGTAATGAACGTACTTTACTGAGGAAGTTGCTGAGGATACCACTCAGTGGCAGAATGTGGTGCATAGTTTTTTGTCTGCACTGGTGCCAGAAGAAAGTATAGCATTCGCCTCATTTATTTCTACAACTGATGCATTTTGTGCGCTCGTGTAGACAGTGCCTAAGTGGTCAGTATTCCTACTTCCTATTTCGGTGGTCCTAGGTTTGAATTCAGCATGGACAGCAAGCATTATTATTGTTGACTATTATTATTGTAGTATTCGTCACTTCTTCCACACAAATGCTGTAATTGTACCTTAAATTAGACCATGCCATGCCTACTTCCTTGCATGTACATACCTTTAAATTTGCCATCCTTAATCATGCTACTGGCTGATGTTATAATCTGTGCAGCTGGAAAAAGATGTTGTTAATGAATCCAACAATCAACAGAGGCCAAATACACCAACCCCCCACAATTACGATGCAGCCAGATTTGTAAGGGACGAAAGTACTGACATTTAGACCCATTGCTAGGGAAAGACTTGGCAAACAAGGCCACAATAAATATGCTATCAACAGAGTAGACCCATTTCTAGGCAATGCCCACAATACACGCAGGCAACAACAGAACCGGTGTTGCAGGAGATGTTTTCTGTGTGGATTCACATATATCCATTGCTAGGCAATGGATGTGTTTTCTGTGCTGTGGTCTGAACCCAGGCTATATAATGAGAAGCCAACAATAACTGACAGAGTGAACTGTGTGTGTGTGTGTGTGTGTGCGTGCGCGCCCACCCCGTGTGGAGGCGGGGTCAAATACCTCCACCGTGACCCTGCGAGTCGTAGGAGACGACGAAAAGGGAAGTCTCAATTCTGAGAGAGTAAAATATGGTTGCGAGTCCCAAGGGACTCTGACCCGAATATGACTGCGCTGGCAAGGCCCAACAGCATATGCAAAAGACAGACCCGTCCTCTCGTCAGAGAAGGTGCCCCACAGAAACAAGACCGTAACTGTCAAACGGTAATAATTAATATTTGGGGCTCAACACCAAGACTTACTGACTGACTGACTGACTGACTGACCGTCAGTCGCAATGTGACTTTGACTTGAATAACTGACGGTTCAGTTGGAAGTCAGAATAGTTCCCATGCAGCATCCAGCTGAAAGATGACAATGTGTCAGATTTTTGAACTGTTGACACAGAAGTGTGTGTGCACACGTGTGTCAATGTGGTCTTGCCCTGAATTCTAGTCTCCTGGCTTTTAAAAGACAGCACAACTATTCTTTTGTGACATTCATATATTTGCAAGTATTTCCTGGTTGCTACTTAACAGCGATGCTTGAATGTCACTGAAATGCTGTAAAAGTGCTGTTATTTCCTGACTGGCTGTTGGCTTCTTCTAACAAATGCCACCAACCAAGCCTACATGTCGCTCCCCCTAACATGAGTTTGACCTGAAAGCATGAGTAGAGCCATAATTTTCAAATATAATATTAAAACAGGATTATCATTCATATCGTGTTAGACAGTGCAAGCCATTCACTAATCTTGTGTCATGACCTTGCAGATGAGACCAAACATGTGCTGCTATAATAACTACCTGAAAGCCTCCCTCCCTTCACCACCCCCTTACATGCACTGCCTAGAGTAGGGGTTCTGGAGTCCCACCCTCCCCACTCCATTACGGTACCAAACTGGGGGGGGGGGGATTTTTATATGAGATACAAAATTTATCAAGTTTATAATGCACTGTAGAAATTACATTTCACTATATCTACTGAACAAAGTGCAAAAATGCTGGCATAGAAGAATGAACATGAGACGATACACACCAGCGGTACAGGACCTCCTCACAGATGGTGCACTACCTAAGAGGCAAATGCTGTACAATCATTGCTCACCGACAAACTCAACAGAGATTTTCTTCTCTGATGCAGCTCCAAAACTGCCAATATACTGTAACAATTATGCAGGGCTTTACAAATTGTAAATCTGAACACACTATACAGAGTGGAAAAAAAAAAAAAAGGAAGAACGTCGTAAAATATACTGCACAACATGTGTCCTGCGAGGTTTAGTTTTCAAGATATGCTTCACTGTCAAGTGGCACAAGCTATCGAATGATTAATTTATGGGCTGCTCAATAGTCACTAAAGATGTTCCAATCGGTGCATGGCATGGTATCCTCTCCAATACACCCTAACATGCTGACATTGACCACTGTTACAGCTGCTTGAAGTCTTGCCACCAGAGGATTCCACAACCAAGGAGGCCTCCATGCCCAGTGCCCTGAAACTCCTATGCTAAAACCACAACAATGTCCCCAACAATTATCTCATGCCTGATGTGGATGCTGCACAAACGTGCTTATTCTGTCCACAGAATGTTATGTGAAGTGAGCTTATCTGCAGTGTGTTAGTGTTGGAGCCATTCACAGGATTGCATCCTCTGAACACAGAAAACATCTCCATTTCAATTCATTATTCATCCTACCTACATCAGTCTACTGTATGAACCCCAGTACACTGTGCCCTGCATAGGTAACCTCACAGAAGAAAAGACCTGTGTATGAATGTCTGACCAGAGTATGAATACCAGAAGTATCTTTACACTAGCATCTAGTGCCATCCTAGTGGTGACATAACTCCACCACTGTTCCCATACTAGACACATGTGAGAACAGATTTTTCAGTCCAGAGAACAGAAAATTTGAAAAAAATTTCAAGAACGGGAATTTTCCATACTAGTGCAATCACAAATTTATACCTAGTTCTTTGAATCCTGTTCTGTTATATTATCACTGCAAATGGGGGTTGCAGACACAGCATGACTTGACAATAAAATTAAACAGACAACAATGTCTTGATTAATATATCATGCTTATACTGAACAACTATATGTTTGGATCGTGATACATCACCATGAGGTGGATTCTAATTAAATAACTGCAGAGTCAATGAACTTCTATAAAATGGATTAATAAAATTAGATAAAATGCAAGAATCTGGCCCTGCAACCTTCAAAACTCCACTCAGCTCTGAAGAATGGCAGCAACATTTCAACCTGGGTTCCTGAATATCCAGTTTTGGCAAGTTAACCCAGTTCTATCTGCCTCAGCACCCCATTATTTGGTTTACTTTTGAACTGTGTTACCAATGACGTCACGCCCCCTGCACAAAGTGCTACTGCTTGCCTCAAGCAGTGTTCTATGAATTTTATTTACAATCTCTACAATGTTTCCAAACATTCTGACAAGAAAGCTAGAGGTATCTATCTGATGTGACATGCACCTTTCATACAGCAGGTGCTCGAAGATGGCAGATAGTTCAGGAGGCGAAGGCACTGCATGGAACTTGCTCACTAGGAACAGCTTCCCTCCACTGATGCCACTCCAGGACTGCCAACATATAATAACAATTATATACAAACAGCTTCACCAGCTGTCCACCTCAACACACTTTATGACTGGTCAAAATTTCTGATTTCTTTGAAGCACACTCCTGATTTAAGATGTTTTACTCTAACCCTTACAGGATTGCCAACATAGAGAGTGCAGATAAATCTATACAAATTCTAAATCTGAGTGCACTATGAATTGTGTTAACCAACCCACAACTTTGCTAAATCAAGATGATCCCCTGACACTGAGTCTGGTACTACAAGAGGCACTAAATTTTTAGTGATGCACAAACTTGCTGGTCGCTCTCCGACCGAACTCATTCGCTCATCAATGATTGCTGCTCACATTTCACCTGCTGCGATAATATAAAGTGGAAGGAAAGTCCTCCAAAATGCCAGTACTCTTTACCATTTCAACAGTGCGCTATACCCAAACACAGAAGAAGGCTGGCACTGACACGTGTGTGTGTGTGTGTGTGTTTGTGTGGCCTTCTACCCTTCACAGCTTCATGCCCCTTGCCTACTTCTGCTCATACACTTTGCACCTTATCCTCTGCTAGACTCTACAGCAATCAATGATGGATCATTAGTGAATAATGAAAAATGCAAAGGAAATGGCTGGGCCTAATTTGAACTATTCTGTAGCTGAGTAAAACTAAGAAACACATCCATCAGGATAGCATATCTCTGGGATGAGATGTTTCTTAGGTCTCTAGAATACACACATTGATAATAAATAAAAAATGTTCAGTCTCGGACAGTAGACACAAATCTCATGTGTTACATACCTCCCACACAGGACATCTTCACAGAACATACAGAAAAAGAGGGGAATCGGTTAGGGGTCATTCCATGTGAAGTCGTCCAGAGAGGTCGCTCACCAGTTAAAAAAAAAAAATCATATTTTGTACACTTATTTCTACATATTTTCACACCTCAAAAATATTTAAAAAATGTAATCCGCTCGGTACAGCCGTTTTTATAATGCGAAAAAAACGCGTTTTCGGCTCAAATTGAGGTTTGCGTTATCTCCCATATCTCGATAACTATTGCAGCTAGAGACTCCAATGAAAAACCAATTTGTTCCTCATGATATGGGCAACAAATCATGTCATTACAAGATTTCACTCAACTCACTTCCTCTAGGTCTAATTAAGCTCGAAACTTACCTATCGATTTTGGGAAAAACGCTATTTTTCACCTTCAGAAACCAATGGGAGGAGGGAAGTATCAGATCTGTGGTTTCTACCCTTTGTTTTCTCCTACATGAAGAATATAATCACATAGTTTTGAACACCATACCTATTTTCCAACATTTTTCAGGAGCTTCCAAACTTTGCTCTGGGCTTCTCCACAGGAGATATGAGATGTTAAAAATGGCCGATTTTGGGCCCAGAGCAAAGTTTGGAACTGGAGTCCCTGTCACTGCTGTGTTCAGAACGTCGGAATAAGTTCTTCTGTTAGCCACTTCTGATAATTTGTCGCGTTCATTTCGCTGTGATAGTCCCCGGTCTTCAGATGAGATATATATATCAACAATGACCCGGGAATGAAGCCGGTTCTGCCTCCCGCTTGCACAATAATCAGCCTCTGGCCCTTCGATACGGGTGCCATGTACACTGATGGAGTGTCATCCGTCCAGTTTTTAGGTCTGGTGTGACCGCTGTGAATGAAGGTCGCGTCCTCATAAATTATAGGCCGACCTTCCTTCCTGTACTTCTTTATTGCACGCAAATGTGCTACTCTCTTCGACCTAATGTCGTCCCTCTCGATCAAGGCGCCCCTCTTATTTCGCGTTTTCTTCCATTTAAAACCCAAAATCAATTTCAGGCTGGTACTACCTCCCTTGAAATTAATGGTTTCCTTGAGTTTTGGAAGTAGTTTCCTCACAGTAGGCACAGTTTCTTCTTGGGTGTAGAAACCATACACTATGTAAGNACACTGTCCGCCGAATCACAGATATATCGAAATCATCTGGATTTGTTATCCGTTCAGGTACAGAATGGTGTTTACCGGGAGTTCCGAACATAGCGCCTTCTTTTTCACATCGAGAACCTTCATTCAGAATTCTCCGTAAACTTCTTTCTGAAACTCCGGTTAGCCCAACTACTCTCTCTTGTACCTTTCTTAACGGTATCAATACATGAACTGCAGCCGCTTCACTTTTCATAAATGAATGGACGTTATTTACAACCTCTCCTGTCTGGCTGTGCAAAGTTGGCATTTGTTTTCTTTTTAAATGTGTTACTGCCCTAAAAGAAATATATCAGTTAAAAACTAGCAACTGGCACGTGGGAAAAGCACACAGTATCTACTAATAACAGCGATCCTGCGAGCTCAACGTCTGCCTTCTTACTATTCTGTGGAAGGGAAGGAAGCGAAGGTGCATAATCCTGTTTATCAGAGACCAGCAGTGGCCCGTGTTCTCACATGAATCCAGTTCATTCTCCCCCAACAGCCTATTTCTCTAAGGTCTGTTATTCGTATTGAAGTAAATGGATTTATTACTAAACTATATAATTAAGACGTATTCGAGTATAACATCAGTATGTATTAGGATTTATAGGTTAGGAAGCTCTTTTAGTACTTTCAAGTTTTGTACTGTGCAAATGCAATTCATTGGCATTGTCTTTAAATAACAAAGTTAAAAAGCAGTCATGCGTGTGTGCATGCATCATAGCTGGGTCACTGGGAATGGGAGGCAAGAAAAAAATCATTGCTTTTGTTACACATTATTGTCCTTTGAAGATAAACTGAGAAATCTGCCATATTTGGAGCATCTGATATTTGTAGGAGACTCATATACATTAATCAGACTATCGAACATTTGTGATAGCCATTACAATGATGTCTTATTGTAATTAAAAAGGTATTAAAACCTTAAATACATTAAACCATCAAACGCAACAGTGTTTTCATCGATTAATTTAAAACCCTTAAAGGCTCAACTTAAGGTGTTTGTTAGATACACAATTTAATTATTGACTTTGTAATGTGCGACCTTATATCTCGTCTACTAGCTTCTCACTTTGCATTGTAGTAAGCATACACATACTTAATGTAGCACAAAGTGAGATAGATAACTTAATAATGTACAGTCAGACCCTATGTGTAGTTCTTATTAATATTAATTGCATTACAAATAAATTCCATTAAGATTGAGATGACAAGTTTATCGTTAAAAATTAGAACTTAAAAACAATTTATCATTGTGAACAGTGAGTAGCTTCATGTCTCTGTGTTGTAATAGGCTGTGCTCATAAAGGTGGTCTTTGTATTGGTTTCTGTCTTTTGTTATGCAGAAATGATTCGTTTGCTGGTGTTACTGTATTCTGCATTTACATTCAGTTAATACAACGTTACTACATTCAGTCCCATTTTTGTGCTGTTATGCTCTGCTGCAAAACAGGATGCAAACAATAGAAATGTGTTACTGTAGTTGAACATATGTCACTGAGAGTGTGCTACAGGCCTAAGTAAAATACACACATGGAGTTTGCTTATACAATAATTTGCTACACTGGGATTGCCATTTGTTTTACTCTAACAACATAAATAAACACATTACGCAAATTGTTTGCAAGGAACTACAAGTATCAATTAAATATGTGTCTTGACAGTTTCATAGCTTTCACTTGCAAATGAGAATAAACAATGACATTTTCTTACACAAGTGAAAAACTGTTTTTGACCCTGCAGGTAAATGGGTGCTATGTTAAATGGGTCCTTCTTCACCACAGCATGTGGCCTCCAGATATGGAGGGTAGCTGCGAATATATGGAATTAGCAGTTGTGGACAGCCGACTAGGGGTGGTCTTCAAACTGGGGACTGGGCGTTGGGCTAGCAACTCCTCACCATAAAACAACAATCTGTTGCAAAATGTTACACAGGGCCTCTGACTTGGGCAAATTCTTTGGAATGACATAAGCAAGGAAAATGGACATGAGATTTGGAATGAGGAATATAATGAGTCTGTATAGGACTGGTTCACAGGCAATAGTTGCAAGAGAAATAGCAGACTGAAAGTTAGATTCAGTGGGAATACAGGTCACATGGGACAGGGGCGACACTGAATCAGCAGCAGATTATAAACTTTTCTGGGAAGTTTGGAATGAGAATCTTCAATTAGGTATAGGATTTGTTGTACATATAAGAATCGTATCAGCAGTTAAGAGTGTAGAATTTGTTAGTTATAGGTCGTCATATATAACTCTTAAGAGGTCACTGGTGTGATATCATTGTTCTGAATGTTCATGGCCCAACAGGGTACAGCTGCTATGAGGAACTATGAAATTTATTTGATAAATTCCCTAAATAAAAGTAAAGTTACCCCTGTGCTTAATTAAGGACAATGACATAAAGACATGTGGGAAGTGGAGGTATAGCTCTCAGTTCTTGACCTTGGCACTAGGTGGAGGAGAATGGTTAGTTTCATACCTAAACTGCTTTGCCTGCAGGGAAAGAGTCCCTAGCCCCCATTGCATAGGAGGTGGGTAAAAGTGCCATATGGAAATTTTGTTGGAGAGTTTTCTGTGCCAAAGTGGAGAGAAAACATACACTCAATGCAACAATTGGGAATGAGAGTTTGCATGAAATTAGTAATGATAATTAGAGTAGTAAACTTTGCCTCAAAAATGTAGTTGTCAAGAGTACAATGTTCCCAAGTCATAAAGCTCGTGTGTTTACTTAGGTGTCTCCTGATAGACACTCAGACTATATTTTGATAGACAGGAGATGGCTTTCAAGTGTACTCGATGTCCAGGTTTCAGGGGGCTATATCATGATACTGATCACTATTTGATGGTGGCAAAAGCTGGGGAGAGACTGGCTGTTAAGTAAGCAAGCGACATAAAAATTTGATATTGAGTGATTCAGTTTCAAGAAACTAATTAAGATGGAAATAAATATCAGTATTAGATTAAAATCTCAGACAGGTATACATCTTTAGAAAACTTGAACAATGATGTGGATGTCAGTAGACCTTGGGAAGCTGTCAGAGAGAATATTAAAGTTTTAGCCCAAAACAATCCAGGTTATTACAGATTGAAGCAGCATAGGTCATGGTTGGATGAAGGATATTCAAAACTATTAGATCAAAGGAAAGAAGCAAAATTGTAATGTTACAGGATCCAGGCCAAATAAATGGGGATGATCAGAACAATTTTAAGACTTGAAGCTAGCAGACATTTCTGGAACAAAAAGAAAATAAATGAAAGACAGGGGTACCAGGGAGAATATTCAGACCAAAGAGGGATGAAATAATAGAAGGTTGAAAAAATTGCGTAATGAGCTCCACAACTGATACTTTTGGCCAGATATAATTGGAGTGATAAAGTGAAGGAGGGTGAGATGGGCAAGGAATGTAGCATGCATGGGGAGAAATGGAATGCATATAGGATTTCAGTGGGAAAGCCAGAAGGAAAAAAGATTACTGGGAAGACCTAGAGGTAGGTGGGAGGTAATACTCAAATGTATCTTAGAGAAATAGGATGGGGTATCCTGGACTGGATTGATCTGGCCAAGGATAGGGATCAGTGGTAGGCTCTTGTGAACATAGTAATGAACTATGTAAGTTTTGAGGTTCTTCATAGTAATGAACCTTCGGATCCCATAAAATGCTGGAAAATTTTTGACTGGCTGAGGAGCTGGTGGCTTCTCAAGGAGGACTCATCTCCATGCAGTTGGTTATGTAAATGTGCGCATGGGATCCTTTGTTCTCAATAAAACAGTATGGAGATTACAGTCTTTTGGGATATGATATCATGCCTTCTGATTGAGAGATTCCTATGAAACGTTGTACTCATGGCGTCACACCTCAGAAGACTGCAGTTACACCCTGCAACCATGTGACGTGCATCTGTCTCATGCTGTATAGATGGCAGAACCTGAGGAAACATGGATATGTCTTGAGTTCATTTACCATGACCTGTTTATTTATACTTCAGCAAGCCCCAAGGTGAACTTTCTGTTGACACATGACAGGTGAGTACGGAGGGTGTGGCAAAACGGTGACCTGTTGCCTTTCCAGTTCCTCTTGGACAAGAACAGAGCGATGTGCAGGGGCATTGTCGTGTAGCAACAGCCAATTCTTCCTACGCCAAACGTTTCGCTAGGGGATTTGCCTAGTTTCTGGCAGAACTTCATGGTTGCCCGTCGTTCAAACTGACACATTTTCGATTTCTGCCATTTGCATTTAACTGCAGTTCACAGTAGAGGCAGTAGTTCTGGTCACGCTGTTTCCACACAACTGCCTCTTCCTGTGGTGGGAGATGAATTGACGGCATCATATTGTGCCTCAGCCTATCCACTGTAATGCACTGCAACAACGCTTTGCAGCCAGTCCACAAAGTTATCGACTATTGTAATATATATACATACATAAAAACACACACATGCAAAATCAAGAATATGTGGTCACTTAAGTGTGTAAGTTGAAATTTTAACTTTCATAGTTGAGTTCCAAGATTTTCACCTGCAAAATGTCTGAGTGGAAAGAAAAAAAGTATTGAAATCATTTTATTGAAACAGGTAAATGAATTTTCAAACACTATAAGGTTAATATTAACATTCTTTTGTTTGCAGAAATTTTTGTGTTCAAGTCTTGTAGCCCGAGAAAAGCATGTCTTTAGTCTCCAGAATAGCCTTAGGTGCTGCAATAACTATGTCAGTTGGAATTATTAGCTACGTTCATTATAAACAGCATTTAGACAGGTAAATGAACATGCTTTGAATGTTACATCATTTACAGTGCCACATAATATGATACAGTAGAACAAGTTTTTCTTCTTATAACTAAAATTAGTTAAGTGTTTCTGCTATTGCAAACTTGTGGATAGTATGAGAGCTCATGGTTGTTTAGTCAGTCAGTATGAGTCTGATACACTGTTCCCTGGGCTCATTTGCATGTTATAGCACAAAATCTAGGATAGGTTGGCTATAGTTTTCTAGCCAGGACTCAGGACTGCATATTGTTCTGCAACAGCAGCACTGTGCCTCTCTTGTACAGCACTGACTCCTGTAAACCACTGCAAGTAATGTGATGCTGTTTTTATTTAGGGACAGGCTCCATGATGGTGTAATTAGAGATGTGGAGCGCCAACAGAGAAGAAAGACAGAGAATATTTACTTGCTTCAACAGCAATTAGAACTTACAAGACAACTGAGGAAAAGTGAGGATGAACAATTACAGAACAGTGAAAGTGCTGGATAATGCATGACAGAGACTTTCTTGTAATCTAGATTTCACCAGTACGCAATACTAATACTGCCTGCAGTTGGAGAGACTGTATACTTCAGACACTACATAATTTTCATGAGCTCAGTTGTACTGTAAATAAATTCTTATGTAAGCTGTATGATATAGTTATTCCATATACAGTAGAACTTGGTTATAACGTCATCAAAGGGACCTAAAAATAGTGTCGTTATAAACGAATGTCGTTGTAACCGAAATGGGCACTTCCACAGTAGCCTTATGTTAGTCACGTAAAAATCTACCAAAAACCGAGTTAAAATGTTGCATTTTTTAGTGAAATACGTAGTTAAATACAGACTAACGTAACATTAACGTGGAATTGCCCAAATGTGTAATATCANGAATGTAGTTAACAACCTGCCGCGTCCTCTTGCACTATTCACGCAGTCCCACCCCACACCCTTGTTTTCGCATAAAACCCGCGCTCCTCTTGCAGCCCGTGGTCGTATTCTTCCAGGACAGTCATATCAGCAAGTAGAGAAAGTGAGGGTGGGCAGACACATCGAACTTTCCCATGATATCGGAGAAATTCAGGAATGAAAATGACGCTACATACGAGGTTGATGTATTTGTGCATGTCGTACTAAGCAAGGTATAAAAACAGTTGCTTTATGAGGATTTAGTTCGTACCATTGAATATTTGATGCAATAGACAAGGTGTCGCAGAAACCGATTTTGCTATAACCAAGTTTTACTGTATATCCATCAAAATAGCGGTATCCCTAAGCTTTTCCCCAGTGAATGCTGAGCTACTGTTCAAAACAGACCATTCTGCTGTTTTCCATATCCTCTTTGTTTAATCAGTATTATTCACTGTTAGTATACTGGGATACCCAGTATTCATCTGTCTGACATCTGAGCTGTCTGCAGCATTTCATCCCTTCAAGTATAAATGTATTCCTTTGCAAGGAAAGCCAGTAATTTCACAGTAGAACTGTTTAACTTAACTATTTTAATTCCTTCTTTCCTCAATCTCTTGAAACGAGAACATGACTGTAGTGGGAACAGTTCTATACATATCATGCAGCTGTAGAAGTGACAAAAGGATTAGTGTAAAATGAAGCATTAAGTACATATAATAACATAACAGTATGAGTTTCCATTTATCAGTATTGTCACCACTGCTGAAGAAAGTAAATATATTCCTATCATATCATATTGCCTTTGTCAGAAAGAGTAACCAAACATGAGGGTGTCTACTTTAAAATAAATTACCTTTTAGTAGGTCAGATAAAAATACATATTCCTTGTCAATGTGCTGCAACTTGTGAACATATCAGCACGTAAAATTAAAAAGTGATTGATAATTATTTTTAGGCTTTTAAAGAATATTATATATAAAATATTTCAGAATGAACTCTGAATCTTACATATTAAAATCTCATTTCCAGAAATGTTACAAGAATAACTGTAAAAGACATGGATGAAAATGAATAGAGAATAAATCAGGCAGATATATGTATGTATATTTTCCTGCTACTGAAATAACACTTTAAAAAGTGGAGGTACAATTCTTAATTAGTTCAAGCTCTGGGGAGAGATGCTGATGTAATGTACTGAGGTCCTTTATAAATCACCACATCACACTTCCACTGTCTATCATTTTCTGAGTTATGCCTGCTTTCATGTGAGGAGTAAAATATATTTCTTTTTTAAGATAAATGGCATAGTGTGATACCATATGATATTAACCTCTAATATACGTAGACACGAAACAGTATGTACAGGCTTCCACTTGTGTTAAAAATATACAAATCAAACAAACTCTAGTCCACAAGTGAACTATACTGACCAAGCGACTGCCCCTTGTCAGCGAAGTTAGTGGCAACTTTTGCGGATAGAGGGTGTCATGTGGTCAGCGCAACAAGTCCCCACAGCCATTAATTTCGGTTTTCTAGACCAGAGCCGCTATTTCCTTGAAATAGCTCCTCAATTATCCTCACGAGGCTGAGTGGATCCCGTTCCAGACCCACTACTTCTCCGAAAAAATCTGGTAGCGCTGGGAATCGAACCTGGACCTCTGGATCTGTAGCCAGGAACTCTGACCACTGGAGCACAGAGGCGGTACATTACAAATATATAAATACAAGAAACATTAACTTAGCTTAACCCTTCACAGAGTGAAACTGTTTAAATAATTTAAAGTCATTTATTCCTCTGTACAGGTCTTGTTCTTGTTCTTACTGTTCATTGCAAGCTCATCAATTTTGTCTTTCAGATATTCCCATTTAACTTGCTTGGATCCTGTAACCATTGCAATTTGGCCTGCTTTCTTTGGTCTAATAATTTTGAGCATCCTTCATTGAACCATGGCTTATGCTTCTTTGGGTCATAATAACCTAGACTCTCTTTGGCAGACATTTTTATATTCTCTCTAATAGTTTCCCGAAGTTTTATTAACATCTACCTCAGTGTCCAAGTTTTCCAAAGCCGCAAACCTATTTGAGATTTCAATATGATACTGCTCTTTACCCTCTACCTCATTTAATTTCTTGAGATTGAACCTCTCCGTATGAACTCTGTGTGTTGTTTGTTTGCTGACTGCCAGTCTTTCCTTAACCTTTGCCACCACCAGGTAGTGGTCAGTATCAATCTGCTGCCCTGAATGATCGGACATCAAGTATACCTGTGTGCCGTCTCCTGTCTATCAAAATAGGGTCTATTTGATTGTGTATCTTCCCATCAGGAGATGTCCAAGTAAATTTATGGACGTTATGATGTTTGACAGTAAGATTTTTTGATGTGGCAAAGTTTACAGCTCTAACTCCATTATCATTACTAATTTCATGCAAACTCTCATTCCCAGTCTCTGGTTTGAAAATGTCTTCCCTTCCTACTTTGGCACAGAATTTTCACAGGGTACTTCGGGAATTTATCAAATACATGTTCCAGTTCTTCATAGAATCTGTCCTTTATGTCAGCAATTTTATCTACTGTTGGAGCATGAAAATTCATAACAATGATATCACACCAGCAACCATTTAGTATTATATATGATATCCTATTACTAACAAACTGTACCCTCTTAACTGCTGATACAGTTCTCTTATGTATGAAAAAAACCTGTACCTAATTAATGATTTTCAGTCCCCTTTCTATAGAAAAATGTATATTCACCTACTGATGCGATGCCACCTCTGTCCCATCTGACCTGTATCCCTGCTAAATCTAACTTATATTTCAAGATTTCTTCCGTCACTGCCCTGAGCGGTTCAGACATTCCATGTACCGAATCTCATATCCATCTTCTTTAGCTTAGGTAGTTTATCCAAGAAATCTGTCCAGGTCTGAGGCTTCTTGAGAATTTTCGTTAGCAAGTTTACTTTTTACAGTGAGGAGTTGTTAGCCCCACGCCCAAGCCCCAAGCTGGATGACCACCCCTTGTCGGTTGTCCACGATTGCTTATTCAATATATTTGCAGCTTCCCTCCATACTTGGAGGGTGTATCCTTCATCTGAACAGAGGGTGTGGGACCCACCTAACATGGTGAATGGTAGGATAACTGAGGAATAATAAATTGGAAAGGATCTGAAAGGAAGTGATCATGGCCTGATTGTATTATGCCCATTTTCCTGGAGAGACTGTGGAAGAACATGAAAATCCTTATGATAGCTGGTGTCCTTGCTGAAATTCAGACTGAGATGTCTTGAAGTCAAAGCATTACTGCTGAACCACCTGCTAAATTATGATTTATACTGAAAGGATGACAACTGCATTAACAGGGTCTCCATTACCCTCCCTTAAGGAAGCTGCATTGTATTGCTATTCTGTTCCATACTTGTAATTTAGAGCTCAAAAATATATTAAATTATGTTGGAGGAGACACTGAACCTCTCCAATGTGAGATTCTTTACATGCTATATGAGAATGCTTGGATATTTCAGTTATACATGAGGGATACAAACATACCATATTTTTATATTTATTTAATTGTAATATCAAGTGTTGTAGTAGAAAGCTGCATACTGTAAGAATATTACTGATCGAAAATGTTCCAGTCAGTACTAAGGCTAGATGTGTCTAAATATGCAAACACACACAAGCTGACAGATGAACAAGGCAAATCCTTTAAGACTCATGGGTATTATAACTGTGCTTAATTTCCCAATTCAAAAGGCATATGCATATTTCAGTCAAGCAAGGAAGAATAGAACTGCCACTATATGTGTATGCATGATTCAGTGACTATATATGACTGCATTAAATTTAACCAGAAGTTCTTGAAGAACTATTCACCTACTTTCCTTTGACATGACACAGACCATTTAGAAAATAAAAAAAAAATTGGGG